TCAACATCAAGAATTGAGGTTGAATAATTCGTCATTTTTTGACGTTTGCGGAAAAACAATTTTATTTACGTTGCCTGGCAGAGACAGGCCTATCCTTCGGGCCTATCAACTAGTTTGAGAGGGGCGTTTAAATAAAATGTCATTTACAGACCTTCACAAATTTCTGTTCAATTCCAAATTTAATTTAGACCACTTTTCAGTAAAATGAAGTTATGTTCATAACAATAATAGATTGGTGTAGTTGTTCTTCCATTTTTTGTTGCAAAATACGCAGTCTAAGGCGGCGTTCCGTAAGTTAACCAAGATTCTTGATTTTTCAGGTTCCCGTTTGTTAAAAATACCTACTTATAAAGGTAACTAGTCAAACAACGGTAAATTAAGTTAGATAATATTCTATTGTTTAAATTTTATTTAGTCACCCTTGCTTGTAAAAAAAAAAAAAAAATGTCATAGAGAATAGTCAACACGTTGTCAATAAGTCTGTCAATTAATTGTAATTTTTCCATAACCGAATCTACCGATCAAAAAGCTTGGTTTTATCGGTTTGTTTTCAATTTCTGACATTTGTTTGTTACGTTAGGTGATGATTTTTTATTATTTTTTTATTTTTCCTATACTTTCGACGTGTATTTGCGGTGGAAATGCAACAAGAGGTGAATATCACATTCATGTCTGACGATTGCTTATTACAAATATATTTTTAAGAGAATAATATTCCATCATTTAGCATCCAAGGTAAACCCTGCTGAACCGAAGCGTTCCACACATAAATCGCATTTTCAGGAACCAGACTGTTACCATATATACGAACCGCTTCTTACCGATCGGTAACTCTGGTTAAGATACGGAACGCCGCCTAAATAGTAGAATTATTGACAATTTTGTTGACAACAATATGCAAATTTTGGTCATGGACAGGCCCTGCGATCTCTCATTGCCAGTTATAAACCACATAATAACTCTTCTCCGTCTTTCTAGATGTCGCTAAGAACCACAGAATTGTCAAAATTGGAAAATACTAGCACATCAAGAACACGTCCGATGTCGATAACTGACATGTCAACATATGACAATATGCCAAAATATTAATTTGATCATAACTAATAATTCATAATGTTTTTTGTTCGCCGGTCTTGCATTTCATCTTTTGTTGTGTTGTCAAGTGTTCTTAAGTGATTTCAAAGTTGTTTTGTGTGTTTCAAGAAGAACTTCAAACTTAATAGATTGGAAGATCTATTTTTATCTTTGTTGATTAGATAAATGACAGGTTCAATTAAACATCAATCAGAACTTTGAATAAATATGTTAAGGATCCCTTAACCCTCGATAAAGAAACTATCTTTTGATCTAATTAACAAATTATCAATTAATTTAAGCAAACATTAATGCCCCAAAGTCTAGAATAACCGAATTTGAACAGACCGACAGTAATGCGAACAGGGCGCCATCTATCATAAAAAGTCCTATGTAAAGTAGGTGTCTGTAGCATTGATGCAAAACCAGTAAATAGTGATTTTCCGATATGGTAGATGGCGCTGGCTTGGCTCAATTTTGTTGACAACAAAATTTACACTGAGATTCCATTCTCGACAGTTTATGTAGTATTTATCTCTGGTCATGGATTTAAATGAAAAAAGGATAAACATATAGAGTAGCTCACCAACAATTTTTTCCAAAATTTCGGATTGTCAATTGCTGGAGGCAATCTACTGACCTGTCAAAAACGAAATTCAATATGGAAGTTCGGGTCAAGCATTGGGTCAGGCACGGTGTTGTTTATTCTGTATGTCATTGAATCATTGGATTTTGTGTTTTTTTGTGTGTTTAGGTATTATGTTAATTAAAATGCCAGCGATTTGATGTGAAATTTTATTAAGTTCCTGCTATTTTAAGTCATTGGCTTTTGATCTACAAATATGAATCATCAAAACAACGCAGGGCTTCATGGATTGCTGCAACTAAAAGCTCGATTTTCCCCTAATAATAATAACTTAAGATATTCACTCTCCATCTCAGAATTTGTCAATAAATTAAAAAATATGTAGAAACACTATAAACCCTATAAAATTCACTTTGAAAACAACAAGGGCCAGAACACTAAAAAATACGTAGAAATACTAAATACTATAAAATTCACTATGAACACAACAATGACTAAAACCAATGAAAAATACGTAGAAACACATAAAATTCACTTCGAAAGCAGCAAGGGCTAGAATACAAATGCTCTCCTTATGAATGTCAAACGTCACCGGCTTGTCACCGCAATATTTGACCCGAACGGCCATTATAAAATCACGTGATTGAGATTGCCGAAAATGTATGATGTTTTTATTCCAAAATTAATCAAAATCTGCCAAAAGTGCGAAACAAGCAGGTGATTGCTGTCATTTTTAGCAGAGACTCAAACTATTAGGCAATTTAAACCACGTGACACTCAAGATGGCGTGGCGGCCACACATGGGCCAAAAAACACAAAAAAATATTTAGTTTCTGCCCGATTTAATAGTTTAGGTACCTAGTCAACAAATATTTTATTAAATAATCAAAATCAAAGTTGCAAGCAAAACTCTAAGTAAAATAATTTAAAATACGCATAAAAACATATTCGACACAAACTTGCTTGGCCGCCACGCCATATTGAATTTTCCTTTTTGACAGATGGATTGAATTGCCTAATAGCCAAAAACTGGAATGCGCACACATTGCGGTATCTGCCAAAAAAATGAGGCCATGAAAGACAGATGGCACAAAGGGGAATGTTGTTTTTTTTTCTGTTGCTCGCTGACATATGACGTTTTGGAAAGTTTTGTCATATTTACCTTCACAGGTTTCATCAATTGGAATACGTGTTGGAAGCAATTTCCGCTATTTAACATAATGAGTGCGACAAAAACAGGTATCCCCTCCGCAGCAGCTGTACTAGGCTTCACGTTCGTCAATATGTGTTCGCATTCCAGTTTTTGGTTATAGTTCATTGGTAAAAACTAGCTAAAAATGTGGAATACTATTATTTCATTTGCATCTGAATAAAATTATTAGTCCACTGTAAATTACTATCTTAACGAATTGATATTGAAGATGTCGCCATCTACTTGTAAAAAGGTCAATCACTTACAGAATTTGAACACCTGTGATAAAAAATATTTAATGTATGACATAAAGCCCAAAAGATGGCGCGCTGGCTCCTATCTGGCGCCCCTCTTAAGAAGGGCGTCAGATACTTTTCAGCTCTCCCCGAATCACCCCTGCGGCACTAGCCACACCCCCCTTAACTTTTTTGTGCCACTATGTATGAAAAAAATTTAAATAGGAAAGTTGTAGTGCTTGAAAAATAGTTCTCAGAAAATATAGTTTTGTTCATACAGGGTGTTGCAAAAAAGTTCAAAAAACAAAAAAAATATATTTTTTTCAACGGGACACCCTGTATATTATGACATTTCTGGATTCTGCGGAAAATTCTAGACATATTTCATGCATAATGTCATATACCCTATCTTCAACTGTTTCGGAAATAATGACAGTAGAAAATTGACTTTTATGCAACTTTGAGAGGCTGTAGAACCTAAACTGTTAATTTTACAGCAAAACCGATTTTACATTCTTGTCTGCAGCTTTTCATAAGCTAGCATTTGAGACCAACTTCGAATTTAATCTATGATTGAAAAATCCAATTTAATTTAATCTTCGATTGAATTCAAAATTGGTGTCAAATGCTAGCTTATGAAAAGCTGCAGACAAGAATTTAAAATCGGTTTTGCTGTAAAATTAACAGTTTAGGTTTTACAGCCTCTCAAAGTTGCAAAAAAGCCAATTTTCTACTGTCATTATTTCCGAAACAGTTGAAGATAGGTACCTATATGACATTATACATGAAATATGTCTAGAATTTTCCGCATAATCCAGAAATGACATAATATACAGGGTGTCCCGTTGAAAAAATTATATTTTTTTGTTTTTTAAACTTATGTTGTGTGTATGTATGTATGAATAAAACTATGTTTTCTGAGAACTATTTTTCAAGCACTACACCTTTCCCATTCACATTTTTTTTATACACGGTGGCACAAAAAAGTTAAGGGGGGTGGGAAAATATAAAAAATGACCCTGTACATACAGTGAGGGGAAAATGGTTTAAAAAATAAAATCTTGATATATGTTATTACATTTGTATAAAATCGCTTCTAAATCACATTTACCTGTTCCACCCGATCAAATAAGGTTTTCATCTAAATGAGAGTCATATTTAAATCTGGATATTTTTTTTGCAGATTCATAGAGAATTAAAAGACCTTTAAAACAAGGTATCACATGACCAATAGTGCCATTTAAGATTTTGAGGTTAGGACAGCTACGGCCGGAGCGGTGATTCAGGGAGACCTGAAAAGTACCTTGTTTTGGTTCCCCCTTCCAACCCTCCAAACGGGTTTTTCGTTTTTTTTTTATGATTACCGTTTCCAAGATATGACAGTTTTCGGTGGGACACCCGGTATATAGCAATCTGGCTACCAGAATCGGACATAGGAGATGCTAACCACGCATCTTAGCGAAACGTCAGGACGGAATTCCAACTTACGATGGCCATTAGGCCCGAATGAAAACACGACCCGGACCGCGAAAGCCTCACAAAACTTTACCAAATAAATTGTCACGATTTCCGCGGGTTCGCTTAAACTTTTTTTAAACAAAAAGCATTGGTTTTTATTGAACTAATTGATCATTCATTCGCTATTCGGTATATAACTTATTACTGAATTCTCTACCATTATCCAAATGCAATAAAGCAGTCTGCACGACTGTAAATTGTCTTGTTGGGGAATCCAAACTTTTATCGTGTTCACACTTTTATATACCAGCGTACAACACTAGGAATAATGATATTTTACATTGTTCATTTACAATCATCATCCAGACTTTCTATAAAGCTGCAGTATAGAAACACAAAATATTCCAAATTTCCTTTGATTATCATTAAATTAATACTAAAAGAGAAAAAATACCTTCACAGAGTGGATGTGATTCTTTGATGGTACGTATGTCATCTGAATTCCCTACCCTTTCGCTTTTGAACTCTTCTTCGCTACTTTCGCGATTTGTTCGAGCTTCTTCCGAGTCCCAAACATCTAAAATTGAAAATATTTGAAGGAGGTATCAACAAAAACTAGTTGCCGACACACAACAAATCAAAATTGAAATAATTGCAACATACATCACATGTGAATTAAATATTAAATGTAACAAAAAACTGTTGAACCAGGCTGGAATGTCTGAAAAACGGCGCAATAATCTCGAATTTCTATTGGTTATGTCATCATATTTTACGTAGAACATTAATTAGGCCATCCATTGATTAATAAAACTACAGGATACAAATATTTACAACTAACCCAATTCTTCACCCAGTTTTTCTTGATGTTCTATATCCAAATCCCTTGAATTTGAATCAAATTTAATTGGTGATATTGACCCATTTTCTTTATTTCCATTTCCATCAGATGATACTTTTTGCTCTTTGTCATTTGTTGTCTTGTACATTTCCTCTCCATCCTCTGAAATTGAAAATATTTAGATTGGTGATGTTTTAACAAAAACAACAAATGGACACCTAACCAAAACAAAATTCCAGGTCATCTGCAAAGGAAAAGGCAACAAGGTTTGAGAAATGTGCGATAGCAGGAGAATAATAATATGTCATTTTTGAAAATGTTGAATAAAAGGAGCCCTAGATGGAATTGCGGTTTCCAGCGATCTGAAGTTGTTGATCGTTAATATCAATTGTAACGTCAATAATACCAATGGCCTCAGGCAATGCCTTCACCCATTTGAAAGCCCAATATCATGGATCGACTGAGCAATATAAGTTTAGGTGTCTAGTAATAGTGTAACCAAAAGTTGAGTGAAAGCACTCAGATAGCACACCTAATGTTTGTTCCACGAGGGTTTGTACTTTTGACATCATTTGCCTTCCCTTGTCAAAAGTACAAACCCTCGTGGAACAAATAGTATGTAAATAGGTTTCAAGTTCCCGAGTTTCCAGAAATATGAAAAGTAGCATTCATTGAAAATATTTTACAGTGGACGCCATATCACAAAACTGAAGAATTATTGGTTGCAAGATAATACCATCTGGGCCAGGAGGTCTCTTGAATCACTATGATGTGTGTACCGTTGTCTGTTATATTTACTCCAATATTTGTGAGAACTTTTTAGTTTTTTGTTCATCTTCCAGTATCAAGTCTTGCTGTGCATCCCCCTATACACATGTATTCGATCTTGGATCTTGCTTATGTTGACTTCCAGACCCCATTTCCTCAATAAGTTTGCTTGCCAGAAATTCAATGTCATCGTAGTCTTGTCTTACCACTATTTGGTCGTCGGCAAATTTAGTGAACATAAAATATCGTCGTTTAGCGGAATATCCATGTTTTAACATTTTTGTTTCCACTTTTTTCATTCTGTTCTGTCTTTTTCTGGGAATACAGACAGTATTCTTAGGGCCTTTTGTTGGGGAGAAACCATTTGAGATTTTGTTGTCAATTTTGATTTTAATGCGACAATTTCTTTATAATTCTTGTACTGCTTTAATAAGGTTGATGTTGGTAGCTGGTGGTGCTTTCGACAGTTTATTCAACGGCACACTGTCGTAGGCTTTTATCAAATCAACAAACAGAAATTGAATTTTTTTTTTTTACCGTAATCTTTTCTATCAACTGTGTTGCGCAAAATAGGTAGTCCATTGTTGATCTTCCCAGTCTAAATCTAGTTTGTTCTTTGGCTATTCGCTATCTTGATATTCGCGGTCGATTCCTGCTTTTATCACTTTTTCATATATTCCACTAACTGCGCCTATCACAGCGATTACTCTGTAGTTATCACAGGTTCCTTTATTTCCTTTTTTGTAGATTGGTGATTGAAAAGTTGGTTTCCATTCTTCCGATATTCTCCAAGAAAAGATAGCTTCCATTCTTCCCTTGGTTGACACAGTTTTGGAAAAGTTTGGTCAAATGATCAAAAATGTAGGTGTTCCATATTCAATCCTCTTCAAAAATCGCGAATATGCCTATGTATTTAGAAGAAAAATCAGAACCAATTGAAAAAAAATCTTCGCTTGCGATCTTAATATTTCTTTACACTCAGACGTGTTTGCCTTAAACATAACGAATAGTCACACATTTTAGAAACTACATGTAACCCAGTACATCCATCAGTTTTTAGGCTTTACATTGTTTAATATAACTGAAGTATAAATATACAAGCTAACCTGTTTTTTCACCTAGCATACGTCCTAATTCCGAATCCATCGAAATCGTATCCCTTAGTGCTCCCATTTCTCCGCCTCTAATTATGCCTTGTATATTTCTTCTCTATCCCCCTATAAAATCGACATTATTAAGATAATTTTTTTTCCACAGAAATTACAAAAATAACAAATCATAACAAAATAACTATACAGGATATTTCAGAAAATAAAAAAAGAATTTCTTATAAATATGGTACTGTTATTGGAGCTAGAAATTTGAAAAGTAAAATGTTTTTTCGTATTATATTTCTCAATTTTTAAGATAAATAGCTGGAATATCGTACAGAACGTGTATCTTTTTTTTTTTTTTCTTTTTCAAAAATGGCCACAATCTTTACGATGAATCGAGGAGTTGATCTTTTTAAGTGAGTTTGGGTTAGTTTATATACCTCAGAAACGGAACGTTTCGGGACCCATATTCATAGGAAGTTTTTTCCTTATTTTGATGAGTTATATCCGCCCCAAAAGTTTGTAGCATCATTTCTGAAATACCCTGTATAAACGACCATATTCACTCAACTACTCACAACCAAAAAAAGGATCGAAGTAACCCTGGTGTGGATATAAGGACATCATGGCATAGATGACGAAGAAGCAGATTTTTCAGTAAAACAAGGGCTAAAACATTTTTTCAAGGCCCAGAGACTTTCTTTGGTTTAATGGAAAAACTGAACAGATGAGAAAAGTACCAAATTCATAACACCCGATATCCACTCGGGGTCTGCGAGAGGCGGAAAGCTTAATATCCATCTAAGCAAAAAGATAACAATTCCAAATGAACTTTTGCAATGAACTTGTAAAATACTCGACAAAATAACACATAAAAACGATAGGCAAAGCAGATATGCTGACTAATTCACAATTTTACTTTTCCTTATAATTTTATTGCAGCTCTATCATACATTTAACCTTGAAACCTTGTGCCGTCTCCACTGAAAAACTAGTGAGTTAAATATTATGTTATGGGGCGTTATCCCTTTGCGACTTGCCTTTGGGACAATGGGGCTGATTGAAGAATTAGTTCCCCCAAGTAAGCAGAGCAATATAGAACATCTAAGTATGCATACCTATCGCACTGGTCCTTGAATACCCGCTTTTGGTATCGGAGTATCCAATGGTTTACGTTATGATGTTTTGCAAACGACGTTTCTTAGGTAAGGCGACCCTGAGGATATCTCGTTGTTACTCCCTGCGGTAAAAGGAGAAGGATCAATGCTGCTCCCTGGGAAGAGGAAGTTCTGAGGAGAAAAAGACCCTGTTTAGACTTCATATTTAACTTTTTTTGTGAATATAAAATTGTTCTCTTTGATACTTTGATACAAGTGCCAAAATGATAACTTCTGACTATATTCACTCCAATACATCAGTCATATGTCTTACTACTCTTTTGTCAATTTGTCTCCCCATGCATTTCATTGTCATGCTGCAGAAGCAAGAACTATGAGATGAAATGGAATATTTATTATTCTTAGCCATGAAGCTACTTCCTAAAATAAACATAAGTGCATTACGTGCCCCGTGGATTTGAACAGTAATTATAGTCGGAATTATAGTCATTTGTAAAGACGTCATTTTTGTTTAGTATATTCCAAATAGCGGTCACAACAAATTTTTGGAAAAAATTGGTGTCTACTGTCTGAGAATTGTTCGTTTTTTGACGGTAATCATCCTTTATATTCATTGTTTATATTTAACTGCCACTGTTAAGCAGTTATGGGTTACGATCAATGGTTAAGACATAGGTACGTTTTTTCTCACCTAGATGAAATAACGACATAATATACCAGCAGAGCTCTCAAAGATACTTTTAAAAAGTATCTATGGTTGAACCAAATTCAAGCGGCAGTAAATGACAAACTGGTCATTTTCATTACAACCTATCAAATGTCCTCCCTGCATAAGCACCGGTCCAGATAGGGCGTTTCAACCAATAGGAAGGCTGGTGTTTGTTTACAATTTAGGTTATTAAATGTCATTTGCTGCCGCTTGGATTTGGAAATGGTGTAGTTACAAGATAAGTTACTTTTGAGTTTTGGTATTTAGTTACTCATTAAAAAAAGGATCTTAAATAGCTATCTTAAGTTACTTTTAAAGATACTTAATGAGATACTTATTAAAGATAGGTACCTTATTATTACTTCCAAATAGCAGGCGGAAAAACCGATTAAGCTTTTGCTGTTTAGTTTATTTGGTCCACAGGTTTCAGATTCAATTTTGAAAACAAGAATTTTTATAGTTTAAAAATCCCAAATTCGAGAATAAAGTTCAAAATCGCAGAACATAGAAAGTTATCACAGTTACAATCACAAATCATAGTTACATTTTCATAGAATATTATGGATAAATCGCGACGAGAACTTTTGAAGTACAAAATCCTCAATCAATTCTTTTCTTAAATGAGTGTACACTAACTTCATACAGAACGGCTGGGTGAGTACAAATAAATAATACATAAAACGTAAGTTTGATGTTTCTTGAATTTTGAACCAGTTTTGTCTTTTTGGGTTGGGTTTGGGTAAACATCTCAAGAAACTTTTTTCACGGTAACTTAGATTAGACTTTTCAGTATCTACCTATCTGAAACACTTTTTGGTATCCAAGATACTTTTTTAAGATACAAGTTACAGATCCTTTTGAAAAGTAAGATACTAGATACTTTTGCCAAAAAATAAAAAGTAATTGAGATACAGTATCTATGATACTATAAAGTAACTAAAATACTCTAAAGTAACTAAGATACGTTTTACTGACAGTCCTGTATACCAGGGTGGCGTAGAGTCGCGCATAATACCTGTAATTAACTTTTTAAATTACCTCGTATACGAAAAAAATACCTTAATGAAAGTTGTTCAGTTAATTATTCCCCACATTTCTACCTGCATGAACTTCTATCAATTCTGGTTTGGTTGCCATCCAGACTTAAGACAACAGTGTTTTTTGAAATAGTGCCTGCTGAAAAAATGAAAGAGAAAACTCACATTTTTGAAATATCGCACTTTTCCCTTGATGATTGGGATGGGACATTTCCGCTGTCATTCTCTTGGAAACAGTTGAAAAAGATGAAACCTTTGAATATAATACCTACACAAAAATCATAGTTTTCTCAGTAGAATCCAAATATGCAATCACTGGCAGGGTGTTCCATTTGAGAAAACAAAGTATCAAGTAGCAAATGGGCTCTTTTACTAATTTCTGAAATTAGCATAATTGGATAAAACAATTTAAACTAGAATTTTATGCACCCTTACTTTTAAAAAAACTTGGGCAACTGGCCAGGGCTAGAAATGGGCACACAAAACTATTTGGTTTGAAAGGCCAAGTTAAAAGAAGATGTTGCATACGGCTTCTAGAGTTTATTTACACATTAGGCAACTCTATTTTTTCCAATGTTGACAAAATACGCTTTTTGCCCCATGAACAAGCTCCGACGGATTGAAATTTGGAAACAAAATTCTAACATATCAAAGCCTAAAGATAAAAATTAACTGTAAAATAAAGCTTATCGAGCACACGTGGACTGAGTTTGCCTCTGGAACAGGAGCTTCTGCACTCTTTTATTTCAAGTGAACGATTCTCACGAGGGCAGCTTTTAAATTCGGCAATTGGATTTCCCGAGGATCTTCAATGGATTTAATAACAGTTTTAAACTACTTACCTGTATTGCTCGATTTATTGCCTAAGATCTTGATGATTTCTAAAATTTACTTCAGTCAGAAAGTTCCTATTTCAGCTCCAGCAGCTAATTCGTTCTTTGAGCAAAGATTCTGTAGCTGAAGTACTGATGGTTTGAATTTTGAGTGAAATGGATTTGTATCCAAAACAAGGCAAATAAAAAGCATTGGAATTTAGTGTTTAGACGACAAATTATTTGAAATGAAATTTTGTTTGTCAAATAATGCTATGTTACTTTTTTCTTACCTGCGAGTTTTACTTATTGTAGGTACGTTTGGAAATATATTCCTGTGATTTATCCCAAGAATCTGTAAATATCTCTTCTTAGAAAGTTACGTATACCCTATTAAGCAGCTAGCTTATAGATCCGTAGTAGTTAATTATCGTGAAATCCCATTTATTATTCCCTTCGAATTTATAGTCGCTCCTTGAGGGTTCCTCAAAACACATTCTTGGACGTTTAGAGTTGATAAACTTGCCAAATAGTTATAGATGAACATTCTAAACTAACGACAGTAGTGAAAGTATGCCCTCTTTGAGCCCGCGCATATGACCTTGAGGGCTTTATGGATTTATCACCCCAAAGCCAGGGACCGGATTCCGAATCCACGATTCGATAGTATCGTCTATTTTGAATGGAATCGTGGGTTCGGAATCCGGGCCCCAGGACTTATCCGCACGGAGTGCCGGAAAGTGTAACTTTGAGCACGAAAATGCGTGCGGAAACGTACTACTTTGCGCACGCTCGTAGGAAAAATATACTTCTTGTTGTGATATTTATCGGCAGTGTCAGAATTTCACAAGTTCAAATAGTGCTCTAGTGCCTTGGCCTTCAGTGCCTCGTAATTTTTACAGGCTTTACATTGAGTTTTTCTTCAAAAGTAAATTTGTTTTCCTGATACTAGTAGATCAAAAATCGAAATGGTTGGATGTAAAATTAATGAACAATGGTACTGCTGCTTCTGAAACAAATTCTAAATTAAAAGATATATTTGCAATTTTTGGTCTTCCGGTGGAACTTGTCTCAGACAAAATGGTCCACCGTTTAACTCGAATGATTTTATGGCATTTTGCCAAGCAAATGATATTAAACCGATCAAGTCTGGGTGGGGGGGGGGGTGGTGTAGAGGGGGTACCGATCAAGTCTGGGTGGGGGGGTGTGGTAGAGGGAATAATAACCCTCCCCCAGAGTTATAAAAAAAGCAACAAGGATCTAAAAAAAGGCTTAAAATAAAGGTTTTTGGGCGTGGCACCTGGGAACAATTTCTGCCTCCGGCAGCACCTGCGGTGAGCGATGAGCTCCTTCTTTAGCTTCACCTACTTATATTATGTATGGGTGAAAAATATTGCATAACCCCCCCACGGGATTCTTCTCTAGAACCGCCGTTGCCTATTTAATTGAAGTGAATAAAATTATTAGGTTTGTGCATTCAGGTTACATATGTTCCAGTAATTGTGAATCTGTGTTGCCAGAGGAATTAAATGTAGATTGTAAAAATGAACAACCTTATAATAAAGTTGAACCTGTTAGGTCAATAGTTTCTGGTGCAAGTGATCTGCAAGAGGCTCAACCACCACCACATAATGATCTTATTGATAAGCCTATGACGCAGATCACGTTTGTACCACTGTCACTAACTGTACTAACTAAATAGTTCTATACAAAATAATAATTCTACTCAGTCATCTTTTGTAAGGTAAGTTGAAAATGTTTCACCTTCCTCCATCACACGAACACGCTTAGGTAGAATATTGAAACCTCCAGTACGTTTAAATCTTTAACAACAAAGAGGAAAATGTTATGTATGATATTATCGAAACCACCATGTGCGGACAAGTTGTCAATCAGTCAGTCAGCATTTGCATGGGTCCTCGTGAAGTCTCCTACAAGGTACCATATAAAATTGCGGAATTTATATTAAATAACCTACGAACAAGGCATTGAGGAACAAGGTGAGTATTTTATTTAAATTCAGAACATAATATAAATCGCCCTGTATATTTAGGAAAATAACATTTTTTAAAAGCAATTACCTAGGTAATTATTTTATTAAATAAAAATTTATTGGTATTGCTATTTTACGTAGATAGAAAAAAATATGCATGTTGACAATTAAGAAAATGATAAGCTAATTATTAATTATTTATCAATAAGTATGTTATTTCAAATCAAATCAAATCAAATCAAAATAGCTTTTATTTATCACAAAATATAGATACAATAAAGTATGATTTACTTATTTTGACAAATAAAAACGTTTAGCACAGAAGCAACTGTAAGTTGCTTGTTTGTGTTTTCTCATATAACAAAAAAGTCCTTTTTCCCGTGTTTACGTTTAGGTACTAGCCACATTTGATTGTTAAGTCACTAATCTGGTTCACTTTTACACATTCGAGATTATGTCACATATAATTATATTTGGTCAATTTTGAGTAAGGTCACTAATCAGGTTATTTTTTCACTTCTTTACATATATAATAACAATTTTGGGTTTTTTTTTTTTATATTAATTATAATTTTTGCATAGAAATATATTTAAGTAAATAAATTTCTTATTTCTAATCTATCTATATTACAGAGCCATGTTTTTAACTGAACCTTAAAGTTTTTTCTTCCTATAACTTGCTTAAGATTCTCCGGAAGAAAGTTGTAGAATTTTGGTGCTAAATATTTAAAATATTTGTGCCCAATTTCCTTTTTCATAAATGGCACTTCTACTGTACTCTGCTCCTGACGGGTGTTGTGTGAGTGTGAGATTGTATGCAAAGTAATTTTGTCTTCTTTTATTAATTGAATTAATTTTAAAAAGTATAGTTGTCTTATGTCTAAAATTTGCGTTTCTTTGTAAAGATTTTCAGTTGAATAAAGTCTGTCTTTATTAAAAATTATTTTTAGAATCCACTTTTGCAAACTTTCTAGTTGGATAAGTAGCAATCTCTCACACCACCCCAACCCACAAGGCCATAGGTTAGCTGTGATTGGAACAGTGCAAAATACAAAACCTTTAATTGGTCAATTTTCAAGTATTTTTTAAGATGGCTAAAACGCGTAACCAGATATCTTGTTTTACTCAATGTTTGTTTAACATGTTCATCCCATCTGAGATGAGGTTCAATGATTACTCCAAGATATCTAGCTTTATTCGTTCCACCGATACTGGTATCTCGAGAAACAGTTAGTTGGTCGAATTCAGGCAATTTATTACTATACGATGTTAAAGGTAGAAATTTAGTTTTGGTTTTATTTAGTGTTAATTTATTGTATTCAAACCAAGTAAATATGTTCAGTAGATCTGCTTCTGCTTTATCTTTTACACTATTCCAGCTGTCAGCCGAGTAAAATACAAACGAATCATCGGCAAAATTTACTATTATACCTTGAAATGTCTGTTTTAACAAGTCGTTTACATAAATATTAAATAAAATAGGTCCGAGAACCGTCCCTTGAGGAACGCCCCACGTTACAGCTCTCCGACTGCTCCTGATTTCGTCAATTTCCACAAATTGAGTTCGGTTCTCCAGATAACTCTTAAGCAAATTCAAAGCACTCCCTCTAAAACCATTTTGTTCCAGTTTTCTTTCTAGTTTTTTATGACAAACTGTATCAAAAGCCTTTTTAAGGTCAATAAATACACACAGTGCTGCCTTTTTTTTATCAACTGCACTATACATTTCGTCACACAAAGTAATTATTGCATCCTCTGTCGATTTCCCTTGGCGAAAGCCAAACTGTTTTTTAGAAATGATATCGTTTTCATCAAGGAATTTTACCATTCTTGTTTTCATTAGTTTCTCAAAGATTTTTGAAATATTGGAAATTAGAGAAATCGGTCTATAGTTGTTTACCTCTAAGTTTGATCCTTCTTTGAGTAGCGGTTTTATTTTACCCAACTTAAGAGCATCTGGAAAACTACCTATACTAAAAGAAAAGTTTATTAAATAAGTAAGTATAGGTGATATTTCACTTTCTATTTCCTTTATTGTTTCTGCTTTAATGTTATCAGGCCCAGGAGATTTTTTAGATTTCAGCTCTTTAATTACCTTTTTCACCTCAAACACTGATACACGTCGAAAAAAGTTTAAACTATTTGGAACTCTTTCTGTCTGCTCGTTGTATTCTAAGGGTGTAGTTATTTGGTTTGCCAAATTTTTACCGATGTCACAAAAAAAGTTATTAAAGTGATTGGCTATCTCAAGAGGATCGTTAACGATTTGATTATTTTGAAGTTTAATATTTCTAATTAGGGTTTTGTTTTGGGTTTTATTGCAAATTTTATTGACAGCTTGCCACAAACTACTTGAATTATTATTATTTCTTTCAATCAGGTTTTGAAAAAATAGTTGTTTAGATTTTTTTATATCTTTTTCCAATTGTTTTTTGCAACTATTATATCTAATTTTTAATTCGATATTTTGTGGGTTTTGCAAGGACTCTTGATAAATATTGTTTTTTAAGTTAATTCTATTAAGAATATCCTTTGTGATCCAATGTTTTTTGGGGTGCTTTCTTCTTGTAATTTTAACGGTATCTGTATTTTTCGTAATGAGGAACTGAAGTTTTTTAATAAAATTTGAAGTTGCAAGGTTCAAGTCTGGAGTTAGATACACATCATTCCATGAGTCATTTAACATATCGGCCTTGAGTTGATCATAATTAATATATTTTTTAACAATGTGCTGTCTGTTCTGGCTTTCATTTTTACATTCACTAAGAAAGGAAAGGAAAATTGGACAGTGATCAGTTATTTTATAATTAATTACATATGATTTTGTGTTTGAAAATGTATTGCTCCCTTTTATGTAAAAATGATCCAAACAGGTTTTTGAGGCTGGTCTAGTATATTTATTTATGAATGACAGAAAGCCGTAACTGGCCAAAATAGTTTTGTACTCTTCAATATTTTGTTTGTCATTTCTAAGAATATCAAAATTTATGTCACCAGTAATTATATGCCTTTTTTTATTTTTATTTAGATGCAGATATTGTGTAAAGTTTTCTAGGAATAATTTTTCATCCACTGAGGGTGACTTATATATACAAGTAACATAAAACTTACACTTATCATCAACCTCCAACTCAATACATTTAACCTCCCCTATGTATTTAAATTTATAATTACAAGAAATCCAGTCTTTTATGAACACGATTACTCCATCACACTTATTGTAATTACCCTCATTATAAATTAGCTTATAACCAGGTATGTTTATTATTTGTAAATCTAGAATTTTATGACTTTCAGTCAAAACAATTATATCGGCCTTAGTTTCTATTTGCTCCAAAAAACACAAGAGTTCTTCAAAATTTTTGTTAACACTACAGATGTTTAAGTGAAGCAACTTAAAATCTTTGTTGTTAATTTGTTGGCTAAAGGATTTTATATTATTTACAATATTTGTGGAGATCAATTCCTCTTCGAAATTTTGAATAAAGTTATTCATTGTGTAGTAAAACAACTCAATTTTCTGTTACTTCCCTTAAATTAGGTATCTAATTAATTTTGCAATAGAATTTGTTTTAATTTATGTGTTTTAATAATAATTAATTAATATACAAAATATTCTTGTTTTTTACAGAATTCTATTTATTAAATATAGTTCAGGAGAAAAACGTAAACACCTCTATTGTAGCACACAAGATATTAGTGCTTTTTCTTCTTGTTTGATCGAGTTTTTACTCCACCTGGACTTTTCTTATTTTTCCGCTTATTTTTATTCTGCCTCGAATTATGAATTTTTTGTCCTTGTTCTGTAGTTTGTGAACTGTCTGATTCGTCTGAACTGCTTGCCTCTGTTTCGCTTTCTGACAGTTGTTCCAACTCTTCAACTGTGTAAAGAGTGTTGTTGATTTCTAGTCTAAGTCCACGTATTTTCGCTACCTTGTTCTCTTCTTTTGCCTGTTTCAAATGTTTTCGCAGAATTTTTTGAGTTTTTCGATCTTCCTCGCAAAGATCATTTGAAATAGCATATTGCGTGTTTTTTAAACTGCGCAGTTTTTCAGGATTTTCGAATATCTCTGATTTCTTAAGAAATGAAATAAATTCGATCAAAACCGGTGCGTCATCACCTTTTCCGAGTCGGTATATATTGTTTATATCCGTAAGTATAATTTTTAGTGAAAAAATATCATTTAATTTAGCAATCACGTCTTGTATTAGGGTTCTTTGATTTGCAGATTTAAAACCAAAAAATATGATGTTGTTCCTTCTAATTTTTCTTTCCAGTACAATTTGGTTTTCTTTTAGAATTTCCAGTTTCTGGTTAGATTTTTTAATCTGAAGTTTAATATTATTTTCGCTTTTCAATATTTTTCCAGTTAACAACTCGGTTTGCTTTTGGTTGTCACCTTGTAGTAGCTTGTACATTTCATTGATGGTCGTTGGCTCACCCATTAGTGCTAATTTGCGATCTATTTTGTTAAAATCACAGGATTTCGAGACATAGCCTCGTTGGCATCGCAATAAGTACTAATTTTGAGAACGGCAGCGCGTGTTTTGCGGCGACACACTGTTTGCAGCCATGTACCAAGGTCGTGTATGGCGGGAACCACCCAACATAAACGAAAATAGACCTTACGTTATCAGTACAGTATGATTCTATCTTAAATGCTTTGCTATTTTCTAAGGTAATCATAAATTATTTTGGCCTACCCTTTGTTCCATAGTATAGTCCACTAAACACTGGTTCTTCTGATACCACTTTTATATTTTAATTTTCACTCTAAACCATTCTTAATTGAAAATTTTGGGAGCGTATGTTGTTCATATGCACATTTCTTACTGCTTAAGACTAACCTTTTTTTTTTTTTTTTTTTTTTTTTTTTTTTGTGGCTTGCATCCCTTAATAGTATAGGAGCTGGCAGGTTTTTCGGTGAACGATATTGATCAAAATTTTTATTAATTAATCATGATTGAGGGTTACCTGGACATACCAAAACTGACCGTCTGCCGTTTCAGGGTGGCAGCTTTAATCGGGGGTTAAATTTTAAAAAGGGATGAATTTTCATTTTGGTGAACGATATTGATCAAGATCGAAATGTTCGGAAACGAATTAACAGTTTGAGGACTTATCAATATTACACAGGCAGACGATTTGTTTGACAGCATTACTTCGGCAGACGCCTGTCAAATTTGTAATTTTCAAGTTTTAGTGAACGACATTTATCAAATTTTGTTTTTTTGCAAATCGATTCCTTTACTAACGTACTCTCAGAAAAAATATCGGCAGACGAAAAAGACGGCAGCGCTTTTTTGGCAGACGCTGGAAAAATGACAAGTTGATTTATGGTAAACAATACTGATAATAGCTGATATTCATGAAAGCGTTAGAGCAGCTCTAGTGTATTCAAAATTCAAATAGGCAGAAGATTTATTTGACAGCACAATTTTGGCAGACACTATCAAATTTTGTCATATACAGGGTGTCCCAGCCGAGAGTGACCCATTTGAAATGCTTATAACTTCTAAACTAGTTGTGCTAGCGACCTGCGGTTTGCGCCATTCGACTTCTCCTGACCTATATTTTTTTTTAGTAGGTCCGTTTTTCAACATCGAAATTCTCACTATCTTTAATACAACACCCTGTATATCACAACGTCAAAAAAAAGAGTCATGCTAAAGGTATCCATGTACCAATAAGCATCATCCTTGAAACTTAAAGTTTTAGCATGGCAGCTTCATGTTGTAGGTATGTACTGTACTTGCTATCACTTTGGCAAACACTGCCATCCCTAGCCATAGTACCTTATATCCAAATGTACCAACGGCTACTCGTTCTCTGCCGCACAGCAATATTCACTCAATCCCGGAGCGTCCTAACATTGACAACGACGAAGAAGATGAAAGCACAGACAGTTCACCATTAACTTTATTAATGTCAGATTTCAAAGCACCTGGTAAATACATCATCACAGCCACACAAGATAACGCAAGCTGAGTTAAACGATCTCGTAAGGGAATAAGCATTGCCAAAGAGCAAAACAGAATTTCTAGGCCGTAACTTCTTTCCGTACTAGACAAAAAGAGTTGATGCAATATTTTGCTATGGTGGACACTAGTTTTTTGTGAAGATGTCAGTGATTTGATGGGAGCACTTAATATTTTCTATGTACAAAACGAATGGAGACTCTCCATAGATAGCTCTAAGCTAAGTTTAAAAGCTGTTTTGCTACATAACGAAAATATTTTACCGTCGATTCCTATTGGTCACGCAGTCCATATGAAAGAGTCTCATGAAAATATGAAAAGCCTTTTGTTGCGGATTAAGTATAATGAACATCGATGGCAAATCTGTGGAGATTTGAAAGTCGTAGCTCTTCTGCTTGGTCTACAAATGGGCTACACGAAATTTTGTTGTTTTATCTGCGAATGAGATAGTCGAGATAGAAATGTGCATTACATAAAAAAGGTCTGGCGTCATCGTCAGTCACTTCAACCTGGGCAAAAAAATGACTCTTTAGTTGACCCAAAAATAGTCCCTATTATTGCCACCGTTGCATATTAAACTAGGGCTTATGACAAATTTCGTAAAACCAATGAACAAAAATGGAGCTGCTTTTCAGTACCTTCGTCAGAAATTTCCAAGATTAAGTGAAGCGAAGATCAAGGAAGGTATATTTATCGGTCCTCAAATTAGAACACTATTTAAAGATAATAATTTTGACTGTGTTTTGGAAGGTACAGAAAAAAAAGCCTTGGAAGACTTTCGTCTTGTGGCAAAAAACTTCTTAGGAAATAAGAGGACCGACAACTATGCTGAACTAATCGGAAAGATGTTACAATCGTATCAAGAACTAGGTTGCAACATGTCCCTGAAAATCTACTCTTTACATTCACATTGAGACTTCTTTCCAAACAACTGTGGGGCATTGAGTGACGATGGAGAACGCTTCCATGAGGACATCGCAATCATGGAAAAACGATATCAGGGCAAGTGAAATGTTGCCATGTTGGCGGATTATTGCTGGACTGTGTGTCGAGATGTTCCAGAAGCAGAATATAAGAGAGCAGCAGCGAAAAACCCACGTCGCCATTCCGCAAATGAGTAAAAAATGTATAGTTTCTGTTAATTTTTTGAAAAAATGGATTTTTTTTTTACGAAACTAAAACTAATTTTGAAATATTTTTATCATTATGATGTTTATCAGGTGAAAATTAATAAAAAAAGTTACTTTACGCAATAAATACTACCTACTAAGAATTTGTAGACCTAGTGTAATAAGAAGCCAGTTTAAAAAACGTAGTTAAAAAAAAATTAAATCGCGTTATTTAATAATATTGTTAAATGTTAATTATTATTAAGTTTATAAGTGTTTGACTATATTTAATTGTATTAATTTAAACCGCTTATTTACATATGTTATTTCCGTATTTTTCCTCAACAGAGATTTCACGCCAAACTGTTACTTTTGGGGTATCTCGCTATTCTCACTGGAACTTGTTAAGCTCTCGTGGAAAATTTATTTTAACTTAGTTGATGTCCAACTACACACACATTTAAAAATTGTTTGCCATAGTGATAGCAGCTACCTACATACCTACAACATGAAGCTGCCATGCTTATGCTAAAATACCAGGATTTAGATTTCAATTTTTTACGGCTGAAACTTTAAGTTTCAAGGATGATGCTTATCGGTACATGGATACCTTTAGCATGACTGTTTTTTTTGACGTTGTGATATACAGGGTGTTCCATTAAAGATAGTGGAAAATTTCGATGTTGAAAAACGGATGTTTTTTACTCGCCCTGTATGAGAGGCAAGAAAATTTGCAACCTACTTAAAAAAAACTTTAGGCCAGGAGAAGTCGAATGGCGCAAGCCGCAGGTCGATAGCACAACTAGTTTAGAAATTATAAGCATTTCAAATGGTTCACTCTCGACTGGGACACCCTGTATGTGACAAAATTTGATAGTCTCTGCCAAAATTTTGCTGTCAAATAAATCTTCTGCCTATTTGAATTTTGAATAAAGTGTGTTTTTTTTTTTAAAGATGAAAGTCAAAATGACATTATGTTGGCAATACAATGTAAAATTGTCAATGTTTCAATTTTTTTATGTAGGAAAAGCTTGTGTTGCCAATAAAGTTACTAAATTTTTGACTTGGGGAATTATCTTTAAAAAAAAAACAGACTTTACACTAGAGCTGCTCTAACGCTTTCACGAATATCAGCTATTATCAGTTATTTTTACCATATATCAACTTGTCATTATTCCAGTGTCTGCCAAAAAAACGCTGCCGTCTTTTTCGTTTGCCGATATTTTTTCTGAGAGTACGTTAGTAAAGGAAAATTTGATAAATGTCGTTCACTAAAACTTGAAAATTAAAAATTTGACAGGCGTCTGCCGAAGTAATGCTGTCAAACAAATCGTCTGCCTGTGTAATATTGATAAGTCCTCAAATTGGTAATTCGTTTCCGAAAATTTCGATCTTGATCAATATCGTTCACCAAAAGGAAAATTCATCCCTTTTTAAAATTTAACCCCCGATTAAAGCTGCCACCCTGAAACGGCAGACGGTCAGTTTTATTATGTCCAGGTAACCCTCAATCATGATTAATTAATAAAAATTTTGATCAATATCGTTTACCGAAAAACCTGCCAGCTCCTATACTATAATCTTTATACTCATCATCGATAGCATTATTACATATCATCGCCAGCAGCTTACTCTGTAATAACAAATAATTTAAATGAAATGCAAATAGCTAAAAATAAAAATTACATGAGGTCAAAGTAAAATACCTACCTGATTCCTCCTGGTGTGATTCACTGACAAACTCCGGTAATTGATCACCATCGAACCATTTAAAATGATATTGGTTATCTTCCAATGCATACCCATTGTTCCAACATCTCAAGAGTAGAAATGCTGAGTAGGTAGTTCTTTTATTCCACATAGGTATTGTCCATCGTTTTTAATCCGACACGTTCCGTATGAGGAGCGAGAGGGTGAAGCATATGGCAAAAGCAGGTGTGACGTCAGGTGACCATTGGTGTGCTAACGTAGGGAGCCACCAACTCACATTCCTTTGGAGTATCAGATTAAAATCGACAGACTGTACCATACCCAATGTAATTTGCTGGACGGAATTGTTGTAAAAGCTCACTTCTGCAAGCTGGCTGCAAATTACTTGCATCGAAGTTAATGTTATTAGTATCAGGAACGAAGTAAAAATGGGTTTGCCTGAAGGTAATAAAACCCCTTTATTGCCAATGAATAGTACCATCTCATCAGTAGCCCAGTACGTATCGATTGAAAAAATCAACAAGAGCCAGTATAAAGCGTATATTCTCACAAAATCAAATGATCGAACCTAATCGGCTCCAGTAATGTTAAAATCCAGTTGTGTAGATAGACTCTCGTTGAACAGATCTTTCGTAATCTTCGATAGAA